AGGTTTCATTTACTCACAAGGTTTCGTGTTTCTCAGTGGGCTTCGCTTGCCTCAAATTACTCGCACTTCCGAGTCAAAGACCCCTGCCTGGCCATCTCTGTGAGCTAATTCCTCCTATAACGCAGCCCTGGAGTCCTTGCTCCTCCTCCTGCTGGTCCCGCACTTCTATCCCCAGGCCAAGCACACACTCTCTCTCTCTCTCAGCCTCATTAACTTTTTAGGAATGGAATCTTTTTCCAGAGTGCCTGGACCTCCACCTGTTACAGATCACAACTGCACCATTCAAAGTCACCAAAGCCCCCAGGTATACCCCAAAAAACTGGTCTCTCCTCTGTCCAATCTTCTTTCAGACTTTATGAGCTCTGATTTCCACTTGCTTTTCTCATGGATGACTATCCAAGCCCTTGGGGCTTCAGGTATATCAGTCCAAGGCCAGTGCAAGTTCTTTCCTCCTAAAAACTCCCTGGGACTATTGTTCTGAAGCTTCTTTGCTTGCTCACCCTTGTTGCTGTTGTTTAAACACTAAGTCGTGTCCAACTTTTTTGCAACACCATGAACTGTAGCCTGCCAGGCTCCTCTGTCCATGGGATTTCCCAGGCAAGTATACTGGAGTGGGCTGTCATTCCCTTCTCCAGGGGATCTTCCCAACCCAAGGATTGAACCCAGGTCTCATGAACTGCAAGTGGATTCTTCACCATCTGAACCACCAAAGAAGCTCAAAACATAGGTTGGTGGGTTGCTCACCCTACTATAGCACAAAGCAACAGATCTAAAGGCAGATGAAGGGGACATGGGGGCCACCGGAAGCTGAGAGAGATGTCAGCTCTGAGAGCCTCTGGTCCCTGCGATGTCCTCCTTGAGCCAGCACACTCGAGGACTGATATTCTGACAATAAACTTACAGACCAATGACAGGTTTAAACTGACTTTGTATTTTAGCCCAAAGGGAAATTTAGAAGTATAGAAGTATAGCTTTGATGCAGTTTAGACGATTTATCAAGTTTGAAAAGTACTTTGATTTGCATTTTCTTGCATGCTGTGTTGTCCTTTCAGATGTGTACTGCAATAGTTTGTCCTTTTTTTAAACTGCAATGGTTTTTAAATCATTTTAAATTTTAGAATGGAAATCATCATGATTATTTTTCTTCTAAATTAGAGGTTGTTAAATTTCATAAGTTAGCAGAACATTAACCTCAAACAAAATTTTAGTAGAGTCCCCTCATATAAAAATAAGTAAAAACTGGGTTGCCGGGAAGGAGAGCAAAAGCAGTCCCTGAAGCATCTCTGCAGCTTCCAAAGGTGTTAGCCGCTCAGTTGCGTCCGACTCTTTGGGACCCCATGGGCTACAGTCCGCCAGGCTCCTCTGTCCACAGAATTCTCCAGGCAAGAATACTGGAGTGGGTAGCCATTCCCTTCTCCAGGGGATGTTCCTGACCCAGGGATGGAATCTGGGTCTCCTACATTGCAGGTGGATTCTTTACCATCTGAGCCATCAGGGAAGCCTATAACCACACTTCACAGAATCTAAAACACCAACTATTGTTAAGACATACCACATAGCACAAAGCTTGTCACTTAGAGTATGACATGCCACTGACTGACAGACAGAGTCAGTCTCAGAGCTGCAAAATGTGGTCAATGTGTAGCTGGAATTGATGATTTACAGTAGGTATAAATAAATTACATATAAATTGTGTTCATTTACTCACACAGTCAATGTGAAAGCTAAATTTAAGTGATGTGGCAGCAATGGCTTTATATAAATGCCAGCTTCCAGGTACTTGGCAGCCAACAAGTGCTAACTGACGGGTTCTGTCCCGAGTCTCCTAACCTTCCTTCCACATGTTAACGTTTGCATTTACTGAGCCCCTGCCAAGCACAGTGCTGAGCACTGTACATGCATAATCTCATTTAATCCTGATAAAGGTCCTCCACATAGGTATTATTCTTCTACTCTATAGAAGGAGAAACTGAAGCTCAGGGAAGTTCAGTGACTTGCCCAAAGTCATACAACTAATACATGAAGCAGGTCAAATGGGCTGACTTCAAAGCCCATGCTCATTCTACTCTGGAATTTCCTGGAATTAGAGCATTGGGGGGGGGGGTCACTGCATCCCCATTCAAGAATCCCCTTGGGGTTTCCCTGGTGGCTCAGTGGTAAAGAATCCACCTACCAATGTAGGAGACACAGGTTCAATCCCTGATCATGGAGGATTCCACGTGCATTGGAGCAACTAAGCCCATGTGCCACAACTACTGAGCCCGTGCTCTAGAGCCTGGGAAACACAACTACTGAGCCCACATGCCCTAGAGCCCATGCTCTGCAACAAAAGAAGCGACTGCAACAAGAAGCCTGCGAATGCAACCAGAGAGTAGCCCCTGCTCGCCCCAAATAGAGAAAGTCTGTGCACAGCAGCAAAGACCAGCACCACCAAAAATAAATAAATTTTTTAAAAATAGAGCTATCCAGACAGGTTAGATTTTTAATTTGTTGCCCATGGTTAATTCCCACAAAGAACCTTCTCCTAGAGCTCTGGGCTTCTTGCTGTTCTCCATGTTTAGGACTTTGAAGGAAACAAAACATTCCCCTATTTTAGCACTGGGAAGTGTAGAGTCTTAACCATTGAACCACCAGGGAAGCCCCTAAGAAGCTTTTTTTTTTTTTAATGCAGATTCTTGGAGCCCTCCTTCAAGGTATTTTATGTAGTGGATCTGGAATGAGGCCCGGGAATCTGCATTTTTTAAAAGTACACCAGGTGACCTGGATACATGGGCAGTTTACAAACCTTTCATATAATCTCATGAAACCTTAGATACCATTGTTGGAAGAAGAATTTGAGCCTCATCAGGGAAGCAGGGACTTCTCCACAAAAGAAGAATGATTTTACCTTCATCAGAATAATCCAACACTGAGACAGGAAAACAAAACCCACAGGAAACCCACATAAACCTCTGAACCTGACCTGTTTGGTCAGGGTGCGGTGGAGCCAGTTCCTCTCATCAACCAACTCTCAGCCCAGATCCAAACCCAGGTGTCATCAGGAAGGAAGACATCATCACTGGTTAAGATGTGATGTGTTCCCAGGCCTAACCTAAAATGTCTGTCTCCTAGGGTGGTTCCACCCCATGTCTCTGCCTTCTCATCAGCTTCTCTAAGATTCAGAGAGTGGAAGCTAAGGGTTTATCCCTAATGAATCAGCCCCAGAAAGTTTACAGGAAGAGATCTGAGTTTCTGTTAAGGTTGGGGGAAGCAAGAGAAAAGAGGTCTGGATGCAAACAGAGGCTGGATGAGCACATGGCAGGCTTACTCTTGGGGGTGCTGAAGCATTCAATGCGGTGGGGTGTCAGTTTCCAAACAATTAAAGTAAACTTCAAAGTCCTACTCAGTTTTTTAATTCAGCAAATCTCAAATCCACTGAGATTTCATGCCAGCCTCTGGTCTGAAGTATGTAGAGCAGCAGTGTCCGATAGAACTTTCTAAAATGATGGAAATGTTCTAGATCTGCAGCATCCAATATGGTGACCACCATCCACATGTACCTGTTAAGCACTTGAAGCATGGCTAGTGTGACTGAGGAAATAAATTTTTGATCTTATTTTAATTTCAATTTAAAAAACCAATGTGGTTAGTGGCTACCATATTAGACATTGCATTTCAACCTTGTCTTGAACTTTGTGGTCACAGTTGCCTATTCAACACCAGCCTTTAGAAAAGCATCAAAGGCCAAAGCATGAGAAGATAAAATGTGTCATGAGAGACCACCATGAGGGACCCCCACAGAAGTCAGCAGCTGCCCAGTGTTCTTGGCCACCTTAAAGATAAAGAGAAATGACTTCAGGGATAAAGCTAGCAACTGTGAAGATACTGATTTACTTACTTGCTTGTTTTACATTTTGACGGTGCAGTGTAGTGTATGGGCTCTTAACCCCCCAACCAGAGATTGAACCTGTACCATCTGTGGTAGAAGCATGGAGTCCTAACCACTAGACTGTCAGGCAAGTCCCAAGATGCTAATGATTAACTCCCATCTCCAAATAACTGATCAGAGGGCAGTTGCAGGAAGTGTCACGGTTTCCTCCTACCTTCCCTCTATGCCGTGTGTTATGACAGTGACAGTCTCTACTTTCTTATATCTCTTCCTCCATAGCTGTCACTCTCTTCTTATTGTATGTACGCTTCATTAACCCCCCTTTCACCAGCCAGTCCTGCTTCTATCTTAGGCCCAAGGAATTGCACAGTTTGGTCAATCTGGTTAACAGTAGTTTCGATGAGAACTCTGGATAGAACCGGTCATTGGGCTGACCTGATAACCCAGCAGAGCCCTGAGGAGACAGGGTGAAAGGGTCCTCCCACTTTCTCTTCCACCTATGCATATGTCCTGTGATTGGGATTCTTCTGCCCATGTACAAGTGTCAGGGAAACCACCCTGCATACATACAAAATACAAAATCCACCAAGAGATGAGGAGAACTGTGATTGCGGACAGTAGGGGCCCCTCCTCCAGCTACTCTTCAAGGATTTATTGAGAGCCTCCTGGGTATCAGGCCCTGTGTTAGGCTCCTGATGTAGACAGAGAAATTCTCTCCTCTGTGGAACTTGAAGCACAAAGAACTACTATTTACTGAGTTTCTACCCCATAAGAGGGTCTCCACTTCTCATAATCCTCCTAGAAGGTAAATATCATCACTCCCATCTTATGGAAACTGACATGGAAGCTCAGACTTGCCCAAGATCACCTTGGGCTAGATGCTCTTTTTGCTCTTCCATACTGTCCTCCGTGAAGTCTTTCCTCTATTTATCCCTTGAAAAAAATGTCAAGCATTATTTCTTTAAAGCTTGCTCCCTTACCACTGGAGATTAAGGTGAATTGGTGACCTGGTGAGAAGGTGATCCATTTTTCGGGATCAAAGGCAAGAAGAAAGAATCACCACCGCCCAGAGCCAACAAGAAAATGGAGAATATCATAGTTCAGGGAAATATGTATTTCAGAGAAAACTTACCGGCCACCACACCATACTTCGTCCTGCCAGGAAGAAGCCTCCAACGGTCCCACGGTTAGTGGAAAACATGGCCTGGGGAGGAAGTGTCAAAAACTTAATAGAAAACCAGAACAGAGTAACCTTGCCAGCCAAGAGGACATCCCCCATCTCCCCATTTACTCACACTTTCTTCAACCTACTTTACTTTCTGAAACAATTCCACACTCTAGGACATCAGGTCACAGCTCAGTACCAGGAAGAATTTCCTTGCCACCAGAGTCATCCAGGAATGGAAATAGCGCTCCTGGGGGAAGTTTCTGCTGGAAGTTTTGTAGTCAAGCGCTGACAATTTGGAGGCTTCCCAGGTGGCTCAGTGGTAAAGAGCCACCTGCCAATGCAGGAGATGCAGGTTTGACCCCTGGGTCGGGAAGAGCCCCTAGAGGAGGAAATGGCAACCCGCTCCAGTATGCTTGCCCAGAAAACCCCAGGGACAGAGGAGCCTGGTGGGCTAGAGTCCATAGGGCTGCAAAGAGTCGCACACGCCTGAGCGACTGAGCACACACACATGCTGACAATTTGTCAAGGTGATTTTGTAAAGTGGTTCAAACAAAAGATTTGAAAATAGGATGAAGAGGGTTGAACATGATCAAGTTAGGTCCTCACTTTATGAGAATATGTGAGGGACACTGTGACAGCAGTGCAAGTGGTGGTAAGGACCATAAAGAGGGTGTTCCCAGAAAGGACAGAGTCTTAGGGAGGGGGACGGGTGAGATATTGGAAAGAGCATTGCCTTCGGCATCGAAAGTTCTGGGCTCTGGTCCCAGCCCTGGGGCTGATTCCTGAGTGGCTTCTAGTCACCCTCTCTGATCCTCGTCTGTTAAATAGAAAGGCTAGGCTCCCCCATTACGAATCAGGCATCTAATGATGCTGTTAATGCAAATGCTGCATAAAGCAGGGGTCAGTACATTTTTTTTCCATTAAGAAAAAGGACATGTGATGTGAGCTTGTGTTTAGTCATGTCCAACTTTTTGCAATCCCATGGACTGTAGCCCCCCAGGCTCCTCTGTCCATGGGATTTTCCAGGCAAGAATACTGGAGTAGGTTGCCATTTCCCCCTCCAGAGGGATCTTCCCAACCCAGGGATCAAACCCTCATCTCCTGCATCAGCAGGCAGATTCTTTACCACTGAGCTACCTTGGAAGCTCTAAGAAAAAGGGCCAGGTAGTAAATAGGCTTTGTGGGACATATATGATCTCCACTACATATTCTTTTCATTTGCTTTGGTTTTTTACAACCCCTGAAAAGCATTTTTTAAAAAATCTCAACTTGTAAGCCATACAAAAATAGGCTGTGGGCCAGATTTGGTCCATGGGCTGTAGTTTAGCAATGCCAACACAAAGGGTTTCAGGATATCTTAATGAAGTCTTCCAGAAGGAATAGTCAGTCGAAAAGGATACAAAACTCCCCATAGGAGGTGGTGAAAGACACATGGAACTATACCCTAAAGAAATAAGGAATTCAAGAAACTCAAGCCCAGATACCATTGGATGAGGCAGCATTTTCCAATGATTAAAAGGATTTTAAAAAAAGAAAAAATACTGGGAGAGACAGGGATGGACAAAGGGATTCTGGCCTGGGTGCCTTTTCTAAGTTGGGGAAGCACAGTGGGCCTGGATGACTGTTTCTGCAGCCTAGAGATCACACAAGAGTCAGGATGACCATCCCTGAGCCAACCCACTCTTGACACTCCGTTGGAAGAAAGAAACTTAAACTAGAAGAAAGCTACTAGAAGAAAGCTAGCATGTTATATGATCAGGGGGTCCGAGGCATTAACTAATAGGGAAAGACTAACTGTAGACAAACACTAAGAGGCTCATTAGGCAGCATTTAACAAGACAAGTAATACAAATTCACAGATAATTGAGAAGTGTAAACACCATAACCATCGAGACTGGCGGGCTAAAATGAGATTGGTTAGGGGAGTTGAGCTTATCAACAGTTGTCAGGGAAACAGGAGGTACCGCTAGCAAACGATGGATTCCCATCTCACTTGCAGCACTTATTAACACAAGCTGGGGTGAGGGATGAAGGCAGACAGAGCACACCGTGTCATGGAAAACTGAGAGTCAGTGACCTGAGTTCCATGCATCTCAACCTTAGGCAAACCACAATCACACAGAGCTTCCATTTCTTATTCTGTAAAACGAGGACTAGCATTCCTGCCCTCCTTGTGGCTTTTTGTGAGATTTCCTGCCCATCTGACCACTTTTGCCCATTTTACTTAAAAGAACAAAAATCATTCAGGGTCTGACTCGTACCCTGGAGAGCAAATGATAGTATTAGGTTAGCCAAAAATTTGTTTGGGTTTTTCTGTAAGATATTGGAAAAACATAGATGAACTTCTTGGTCAACCCAATTATACTTTTAAAAGATTCCTAGAGTCCATAATGAGCTTTCAGATGCATCTCCCAGACCCTCCCAGCCATTTATGAGGAATCATAAGAACAGGTAAGATTATACCCGTTACACACCTGAATAAACTGAGACTGGGCAGAGTTACCAACACTGAAAGAACACTGGAAGGTGTAGAAGCCAGTGGTAAACCTGAGAACCTTGGCCCCTGGCTGGACTTTCCAGAGTCTAGGAAGCTGAGGCTACTGAGCAAGAATCAGTCACATAGACCCCTTGTGACACTTAAGGCCTTCAGTCACATCTGGTTTCTTTTTAAATTACACTTTTCTTTTTAAAAATCAATACTTCCCTTTTTCTGTTAAAAGAAAAAAAAAGCATTCTATGACCATGAAGGGGTTAATGTCCACCCTCCTCTCCTCTAAGTCAAAAGATTTCAATCACCTGCTAGCACCTCAGCTTCCTGGCCTGCCACCCCCCGATGGAAGCCTTTGAGAGTGGCTGGAAGATGTTCACACTTAAAACACCTGTCTTCCAGCTGCTGGGTGTGCCAGAGTCTGTCCCAAGTGAAATTTCCAAGTTCAGGACTGCTGAGAACGAGTTTCTCTGGTTTGGTGTGTCCCCAGAGTCCCAAGAGGGAGCCCAGTCATTTCCTTCTCCCCAGCCCAGCCCAGGCCACACTCCGACCTGCCTCCTCCTCCTCTCCCTGGGCCCAGCTTTCCCAGCTCTCTCTCACTTCAGCCCCTGCACGGGCACTGAGCCTCTCCCAGGAGGGGCCGCCCCACAGCATCCGCAGCTGACCGGTGCTGTGTCCTTCCCGACCCACCTGTCTCTCCTCCATCTGACTCAAGGCAGGAGGCAGTCACTCCCTGAGTCTCACTTCTCAGCCCCGGGACCCTCTGTAGCTGCAAGCGGGTCCTCTGCTGCCTCTCCAAGCTCTCACTCTCCTTCTCTGCCCACTGGCCTGGGATGGGGAGCCTCCCTGGACACTGACCAGCACCCCTCACTTCTGCTCACCCTTGCTTGCCCCCTCACCTCACATGGTGCCCCCCGAACTCCTCTCAGACGTTTCCAAGTCACTTCCACCTAGCTCCACATCCCCTCCAGCCCACCCTCCCCTCCTCAGGCCTCACCAAGACTATGGCTTCTCCGCGGGCCCCCTCCTCCCTCCCTCCCGTTGGCCCTTGCGCCCTCAAGCCCCGTGTTTCAGGACCCCCCACCTACCCACAGTCCGACAGCCATCACCACCACGAAGTAGATGACGATGACAGAGATGTCAGCCGCATTGCGGATGCGCTCATAGGCCTTGAGGGGCTCGGCAGTGGTCGTGGCCGGGGGGCTCCAGGTGCTGCCGTCCATAGTGGCAGCTGCAAGGTGTCCCTCCTGCCCGGGCTGTTGGTTCCTTATACAGCCTCCAGGTTAATGATCAGCCTGGGGAGGGGACCTGTGGAGTCTGGCAGCAGGACTGTCGAGCGGGGGCCCCAGCGCTGGTCGGAGAGCAACTCTGAGTGCAGAATGAGGACAAGCTGGCAGAGCTATTGGCAGGAGGTAGGCGGGTAGGTAAAGGCTCTCCAGAGAGCGGGGTGGGGCCAGCCAGGGGGTGGTGCCCACGGAGCACAAAAGCCCGCTGTGCTCCCATCACTGGACACCCGGCAGCCTCGCCCGGCCTGCTGTGGGGCCACACCCAGGCCAGGGCTCCAGCGGCTCTCTTGAGGAGCCAGGCTGCCTGGTGCTGGGGCCCTAGAAGCTTCAGGTCACCTGCCACCTGCCCGTGGACCAGTCTCGTGTTCTCCACAGACCTGGCTTCTCCATGTGTAAAAGGCATGCAGGACTGTCTCAGGAATCAGCCAAGTTCTTGGTCTCCATGGAGAACATTCTGGGGAAAATCAGAAGTAGCTGGATGTTGCTGAAGAAAATTCAGCACAGTGGCAGTATCTTAGCCAATGAGATGACCGCTCACCCCCCGACCTTTCTGCCCCTCCCTCTACAACCTGCAGCCCCCCACACACGGTTATCCCAACTTAAGGAGGGAGACACCGAGACTGGGAAAGGGGAGCTATTTCCTTGCCCTGTACCTCACCCAGTGATGTTATTTGGGGCCCTTCCAAGCCAGGGAGGGAAGATGCTAGAGAATCCCTCCCAAGGAGCTCACCAAACCCTGGCCCTCTCTGGGGCTCAGCCTGTCCACCTGGAAACACATGTCTAATCTGGAAGTCAGGGCTCAGGAGAGAGGGCAGTGAGGAGAGGCATGGCTCACCTGAGGGCACGCAGCGAGCCAGTGGCGGAGGTGACCATGCAGCCCAGGCCAAGGCAGGCCTCGTTCAGAGGAGGGTTGGGATGCTCTCAGGGGCTGGTGCTAGAAAACCCCGAGCAGGCACTCTAGAGAGGGGAGCCTTGCTGGGTGATGAGATGCTTAGAGTAGGGAAGGTCCACCCAAACCCTGCCAGGACGCTATGATGCCTTGGGCCCTCCCTGCCCACCAGACATCCAACCACTGCTTAAAGTCAAGCAGCCCGTTCCTTTGCACCTCACTGCCTCCAAGGGCTACTCCCCTCCTGTCCCTCCAGTGCCTGTTCGTCCCCTCTTCCCCATCTGTTCCCCAGGATAATAAACTCTATGAGGCTATGTCCAAGGCCCATCATAATACCTGTCCACCACATGTGTACCTATCATACATGTGTACCTGATTTTTGTTGGTGTTGATGTGTGGCAGAAATCAACACAACATTGTAAAGCAATTATCCCCCAAATAAAGAAATAAATAAACAGTGAAAAAAATAATACCTGTCCACAGGAAAAAGAAGTTCCCCATCTGGGGATCTTGGAAGCAGCGGCTCTTCACCATGGATGCCTCCCATGAATTAGAGCTCAGCCATCAGCCACAGCGTGGAGCCACTCACCTTCAATCCATGTCTATCAGCTCCCGCATTGAGCAAAGATTTTTTTTCACCTGGCTCTGTGCCAAGCAGAGTCCTTGCCCTCAGGGAACTTCCAGTCTAATCTGGAAGTGAACCCCCACACCCGAGGAAAAGTCCAGCATTGAGCCCCCAGCTGCAGGTAGCCAGCCCATGCCCAGTTCTAAAAGTGAAGTCTGTGGAAATGAGAAAACTTAAAACGTGAGTGGGAGGTAGGCTCAGAAATGTTAATGGACCTCAGGGGGGACACAGCTGTTCTTTGACTCTTTCTAGGGCAGCAGAACATAGGTGGCCAGAGGAGGTAAGGTGCGGGTGGCAGCCAGGGAGAGACGGAGAATGCACTCATTCATGTATTCATTCATTCATTCTTGCAACAAAAGAGCAGCTTCTGTGTGCCAGGTCATTGATGACACTGGGGTTACAGCTGTGAATGAGACTCCCAGGGTTCTTGCCCTTCTCACAGGGCTTCCAGCCCAGTAGCGGAAACAGACTGTCAGCAAAGATGAGACATATACTTCTAAAATTAGCACAGTGATGTGTGCTTTACAAGAGAAGCACTAATGCTCCAAATATCTAGCAAGGATTTTGACCCGGGAATGAGTTGAGGTTGCAGGAAGGTCTGGTTTGGGCAGGACCCTGAAACGGAAGGAATGAGTCAGGTGAGAGGGGAGTGAGGGATGTGCCAGGAGAGGGCAAGCATGGTGACGGAGGGGGAGGATTCGTCTGCAGGGTGTAAGGAGTCACCAGCTGGGACTGGAGATAAAAAATAAACTAAAGGCACGTCATCAGCAAGCAATCCCCGCCATGGCTATCCCCAAGCTTACTGAGGTCCTTTTGCAATTTCTCTTCCTCATTGGTCTTGAACAAATTAAGCCCAAGAAAACAGTATGGAGGTTTCTCAAAAAATTAAAACTAGAACTACCATATAAACCAGCAATCCCATTTCTGGGAATATATCCAAAGGAAAAAAAACACTGTGTCAAAGAGATATCTGTACTCCTGTGTTCGTAGCAGCATTAATTGCAACAACCAAGACATGGAAACAGCCTAAGCACCCACTGATGGATGAATGCATGAAGAAGGTGTGATATATATCACACGATGGAATGTTATTCAGCCATACAAAAAGAAGGACATCTGGCCATTTGTGACACCATGAAGGAAACTTAATAGCATTGTGCTAAATGAAGTATCAGGCATGGAAAAACAACTGCTGTGTGATCTTACCTACATTCTAAAAAAAAGGAAACTCATAGAACCAAAAAGTAGAATGGTAGTTGCCAGGGGCCGGGGGTGGAGGAAATGGTGGAGACATTGGTCAAAGGATATAAGTTCTAAGATTAATAAATTCTGGAAATTGAAAGCACAGTATGGTGATTATAGTTAACAGTAGGTGATTATAGTTAACAGTACTTTATTGGAAGTTGCTAAGAGATCTTAAGTGTTCTTATCACAAAGAAAGAAGAAAAAAAGGTAACTACGTGAGGTTAGTTAACTTGATGGTGGTAATCATTTCACACTGTATACACATATTAAATCATCACATAGTATACCTTTTATTTATTTATTTTAAATGGACAAGTTATTTAATTAGGTTCTTTGCAAGAAGTTCAGAATACTACTTTGTGAGGGTAAATTCCATTTGTGAGAGCAAACTCAGAGCGGAGGTAGCCCTGGAGCTGAGGGACAGCTTTGATTCTTCGCAGAATTTGTGAGTCCACAGCTTTCTGATCAACCTTGCAATGCTCTGTGATCTCGTATTTCTCTCTGTCTGTGTCGAAGATCTCACCCTCCTGGTGTCTCGGCTTACGCAGCTTCTTCTTCTTGAAGTAAGTGTCATTGAGATGTTCTGGGATTTTCACACCACTGATACCGATTTTGGTGGAGGTGGCAATGACAAATTTCTGGTGTGTTCTACGCAGAGGAACTTGATTGAGGGATAGAGGCCCAGTCACAAGTAGCAAGCCACTGCCCAGCTGCTTCAGGAAAACAACCCTCTTGCCTCTGTGGCGCCCCGTGAGGATGATCAGAACAGTCCCAGGAGTGATGCTGGCGCACAGCTTCCTCACATGCTTACTGAACGGTTTCTTGCTGTGACTCAACAGTTTCCGAGGCACATCTTCAGTAGGGTAATACCTAGGCATTTTGCGAAGTTTGACCGCTTGGGTACCACAATTCTCGTCACCACCAACTGGTTTTGTGACAGTAGCAAGAACCCAAACCTTCTTTTTCTTTTCGACCTTGGATTTAACTGCTGAATACTCTCTTTTGTACAGGGCCTTTCTGGAGTACATGGCTGATCGGGAATATCTGCCAATTCCTCTGACCAGGACAGGGTTTTGGCTGCAGTGGGGCTTCCCCTTCTTAACTTTCTTCACCATTTTCACCTTTTTAGCCTTGTTGACAGCATCAGCCTTCTTGGCTTCAGGTTTTTTCTCCTTAGTATCTGGCTTCTCAGCCTTTTCACCTGCCATCTTGCAAGACAGGAAAGAGCAAATTATCACATAGTACACCTTTTAAAAAGTCTTGTGGTACGACCTAATTGTTTTTTAATTTCCCCTGAACAGATGCTTTCAGAGGAAGAAAGTATGATGCACCATTTGCCTTCACAGCTGGCCAGAGCTGCTGAGTCACTGCTTATTGGTAAGGATCCTATTCACCTCTCTCCTGGCCTCCCTGTTGCCAACAAAAACCAGGGTCTGGTCTTTTAAAAGGACCTTGTTACCAGAACCTCAGAGAAAAAAGCAGGCCAACCAACCTGACATGGGGAAGATGAGGCTGATGAAGAAAGACAGATGTGAGAGCACGAAGCAGAACCCACCTGAATCCACAGATTCACAACCTCTGGTGAGATTGGGGTCTTAAGTTTGAAAAGCCAGGTGCTCACAGGTTCACAGCTAAACCTGACTGTTGGAGAAAAATATTCAAATGACTCAGATTGCTAAGCTAGTATCTACAGATGGCCAAGGAGAGACCCAAGATTTGGAGGGTTGTTGTTTTGGTTATTTCATCACTAAGTCATGTCTGACTCTTTTTGTGAACCCATGGACTGTAACCCACCAAGTTTCTCTGTCCATGGGATTTCCCAGGCAAGAATACTGGAGTGGGTTGCCGTTTCCTTCTCCAGGGGATCTTCCCAACTAAGGGATCGAACCAGAGTCTCCCGAGAACCCTGCAAAAAAGGCGGGTTCTTTACCACTGAGCCACCTGGGAAGCCCTCATTATTAAGTGGGAATTGTCCCGTCTCCTCTCCTCTGCCTGCCTCCTCACTGCTTGTCTGTGCAGGTCTCACAAGAGTCCAACCTGCTCCTGCCAGCCAGGAAGGCCCTCCCCAGCAGGCCCTTCCATCCCTCACTCAGTGAGGACCCCGTGGTGGGATGGCCGGCTCCTGAGCCCTTGTCACATAGCAAAGTCGACAGCCTCGGTGGGGAGGCCGTGAGTTTGAGAGGGTGTCTGGGGAGGGGACCCATGTGTCTACCCGGAATCTCAGCTCAGCCATCACCAGCGGCAGACCATGGACAGCTCACAGGCATCTGTGGCTCCCATTTGAAGAGAGACAAAGGACAGTCAGACAAGGACTGTCTTATGTACCTATGAGGT